CCCATCATGGCAAATTAAATAATTTCCCAACACCGCACCCAAAAAAATTTGTTCTAAAAATGGGAAATCGAATACATAATCGAAGTAGATACAATCACGTAATCAAAGACTTTTCCCTTTCTTTACCATCTACAAAAGCATCAAGAAAGAATGGGTGAGCTATAAAGGGATTCATTGTGTGCAAGTTTGGCGAACCATATCTGCTTTTTTATCACATATATCTGAATTATGGCAAACAGGTATAGTTCGGTGATCCTACCTTCGTCGGTTCTTCCGTGGAGTTTTGGACGAGGTTCCGTTGACGCATCAGTTCGTGAGAATGCATCAGTTTTCAATGTTTTCACCTCTCACAAAGAATTTGAGTATGGTGCAAAAAGAAATTTTATTCACTTCCAACCATTATAAAAAAAATAGAAAAGCATAACTCTCAATTCAAGGAAAACAATAGATTAAATGCATATGTTGTAAATCATTCTTATTTCAATTAATAGAAAGGGTGCAGAGCTCCCGAATGTATAGATTGTAGGTATACATTGGCACAAGGTCCGGGTTCTCAATATGGTGACCTCCATAAAAGAAATGATTCTTCATTTATGCACCATTTCTAGAGAACACAAGGATAAAAAATATTTGGTCTAGAATGGAATACGAACATCAAGGGAAGAGGTATGCCACAAAAAAGAATACAACAATAATATAAAAATTTGATGAAGAACGTAAAACAAATCACCCTCCAACATAAGATCTTGGTATATAACAATATTGTCATACTAAAAACAATATAACACTAACACTTATAAAGACCATAAAACAATTATATCATCCCACATAAGTATTATTTTATCTGATTTAAAATGACTGCCAATCAACTTATTTCTATTGGTTAATTCAAACTTACTACTTTTTCCTACATCCCCAGAAACCATATCACACCTTGGGCATTCATCATCCAAACTAATTCTGTCTGTTCAAAATAATCATTGAGGCAAAGGAAAATAATAATTTAAAAGATCGAGATATACAATCATGTGTACCCACCTAATTAATTCCAGCTTTTCGCAACTCCAAATCAGCAAGTTGGTACTGGTGCATAGCCCAGTTACTCCTCTGGCCTTTTGGAGCTCGGCCAATGTGATAAAAAGAGTTTTCTTCATTCCCATCTGATAAAAAGTTTCATCCACAACAAGTATAATAACATGAATCTAGTTGTAGTTGCTTCTCCTTTAAAGTAAGAAATTTCGCCTTTTTTTTTCAAATTGATGATAACAAATCTATTGGTTTGCCTCATTCACTTTAATTTTCACTAAATCACAGAACTTTCATCTCAAGCGAAAATTTTCAACATATTATAATATTGAAAATCAATAAATGAAGTAATCGTAAACATAAAATAAAACCAAAGAGGGCAAAGGAAAAAAAAAATCCAAACCATATTTTAAGCTTAGCAGACATGAAAGGGCACAAGAGTACATTAGAAAAGATTTAACTTTTATTTTTTCCTCAACGGTATCGAGTCTTATCTAGTGTACTAAACTTCCACTAACTGGTCTCAAAGGATTTTGAACTACGCAATAGAATCAAAATTCTCTTAGATCCCTATTAAGATTTCTACATTTGCCGATTCTCAAATTGTGGTCAGAAAGCAACTAACTTCACAAAAAACGTTGTGTTTCCATGCATGAAAAGAAAACTATATCCATTTTCAGGAGGGAAAATAAGTTGCAGAACCCAATAAATTAGAAGTCATTCAAGAAATTTTACATAAGTTTGAATATAGATATTAGTACAACATATTTGTAGAATAAGCAGCCTTAGAGCCGAGCTTGACAGGGTAAAAACCCAAAAGGATTACTTATAGAACAATTCATCAAAGCAAGATCACAAATGTGTGCTACCAAATAAATTACAGTAATGAAAAAGATAAATGCTTACTTGACAATGGCATGAAGTACACAGACCAACTTGTGCCAGTTTAGTATAATATTGGATTCGAAATCCCAAGTCAGCAAGAAGGAAGAAGTCAACAATGGAAGCTGCTCGTACCATCCCTCAAGCCCCAGCATCGACACACCATGTCCCTGCATTTCACAAGGTTGATTTCGAAACATAATTGAACAATTAACACGAACTTCCTAAAATCCATCATATTTACATCAACTGACCTTCTTCTACATTGCCTGGTTGTTTTATCCTTGAATTTGGAAGCTATAATTGCTCAACTGCACCCATGTAGCAAAAACAAAAAAAATTAATCAACACCATCAATCCAAAGACAAAATAAAATATTATTTTTATAAACAAGTATAATATTACACCAAACAAAAACAGAGAAATCAAAATTTTACTTTTCAGTGCCATGAACCCTAATCTGATCTCTCAGAATATTATCCTCCTGCAAGTAAAATTAACCAATAACATAACTTTTTTGAGTGAGTGATATATAAGAAAAACAAGACCCTCAAAAGATCACCTATTTTGCCCCTTTTCTCTTTACAGAAACTTGAAAACGGAACTGCATCGATAAAAACTATACTGTTGAGCTTGTACCCATCCCTTGAAACAAAATTTTGCCTAGGATTCGACCCTTTTTCTCCACCCTTTGTCCTTCACTTTCTGAAGAGAAAGAAAATACATTCTTGTATTTCAAGATTTTTATAAACATAATCTTGCAAAATCTATACCTTAATACTTGCCATGAAATCTATACCTTAATACCTTATCACTTCGTTTAGGGGCGGATGTCGATGGCAAAGGCGTGAAATATCGAATCAAACAAAAAATTGTAGGAAAATAAAGTTTGAAAAAAGGACATTGGAATGAGATTGAAAATGAAAAGAAATATAAACAATCACGACTTTACGTTTCACAATTAATGTAAAATTATTTTGATATTTAAAATTTATCGATCATATATTTATCATGACCGCATTTCAAAGTTTGATATTTAAAATTTATCGATCATATATTTACATGGCCGTACTTCAACAATTGCTTTATGGCTCGGCTGTAAACAAAACTAATCAAAGAAAAGAAAATAGCCGAGCCATAAAGACGTTTCGCTCGGCTCGGTTCGATTCGGCTTATGAACGGTAAATGGCTCGGCTGTAAACAAAACTAATCAAAGAAAAAAAAAATAGCAGAGCCATAACGATGTTTGGCTCGGCTTGGCGGCTCGGCTTATGAACAGTAAATGTCAAACTGACTCTTTTATTTATGGTAGATAAGTAAGTAAGTTTATATAGGATATGATTACTCTTCCTCGGTGAATTTAATGTTGTGTATATTTTGAGGGATTCTTTCTGCATAACCATTAGACCTGGCTTTGATTTATGGTGAATTTGTTGCTGTGACCTAAAAAGTGCCTGGCATTAGGTATTGCATGCTACAGGACTTTGTCTAGGGTGAAAAACGAACGAGAGAAGAAAACAAATTGATCTCTTCTCTAGTTTCTGAGTTTTTGTTGACTTAAAAAATTGACTGGCATTAGGAATGTTGTTCTTGTGTGCTCAACTCCTGCTTGAAGCCCGGCTACTTGATATAAGCTAAATTTGTAGGCTTCTACCCTACATTGGTGCATCTTCATACGCAAGGTTTAAGAGTTCCGAGCCCATGTTATCGTATTATGGAGTACATAATTATTGTAGTAACGTACAATGTTGAAAAAATTTAAGCATTTATTCTTGCATAAAATATAAATAGCAATACTAATTTGACCGCCTTCATTTTGACAATTTAAAGAGTTTTCACTTTCTTAAACAATGCAATATTCTCGATTCAATGCATTGACAACCGGTCAAGAAATCGATTTTCCAATTCTGTTTTAAACGACACAATTCCATTTTACTATTTTACTCTTTTTGGAACCCTTCTCTATCAACATGTAAACACAAGAAATTGGGGGTTAGTTTTGGAATAGCAAAAATTTTGAATTCAAAATTAAGTAGAGTAGCACCTCATAATTTGGAATTGATATTATGTGTGTGATAACCTGGCCCACGTTTATTGAAAAAAAAATTGGCTTTTGGCGAATAAAGGCTGTCAAACACGCCTGTGGATAGCTGATTTGCTTTGGTCAACCTTCGCTAGCGATCCAATTTAGTACTGAAACATTATAGAAGACTAATGTAAAGGTCTTGGGAGATTTCAATGGAGAAAAATTCATTTCATTTATTGAAGATAAAATATCCACCACATAAGCAGACGTTGCCAGGGGAAGACAGAACAGGGGAATGCTATTGACAACTCGAGAACTTTATATTTTCAAATTACCACGGGATTCATAAACATAAATCCCGCAAGTGTAAAAGTATCCCCGCAGTTGGGCTATCGTTTCATGATCCAACCAAGTTATCAATCAATTGCCAGTCAAGAACTTGAGAGAGTACAAATTCACTTCATAAGCTCGGAAACAACCCAAAGAGGGGAATATCATTCAGAGTTGAGGGTTTCTAATTTACAGACACCTCAGTTCTTTTCTGTCACAAATGTACATGCCTGCTAATTTCTCGAGAGTGGTGAGTGAAACCCCATTAGAACGTTGAAGTGCCCACTGAAGAGAATCCAGCAGCCTTGTGCTCTTTCAAAGTGCCTGCTAACCAGTCCAATCCCTCATACAAGCCATCCCCTTTGAGAGCGCAAGCCCCTTGTATGTGCCATTTTCTGTTTTTAAGATCGTAGAGACCCAGGCCTTCACAAACTTCCATTGGGGTCATTGCTCCTTTCTGAATGTAACCGGAAAATCTATTATTCGACAAAGGACTATAACCACAATCCAAAGACATAAATCTTAATCCACAATGATATTCAAAAAGTAGTGCTAGTAGTGGATGGTGTACACAATATATCCCTGTAACAAGGAAAATGAAGAGCACAGCCCCAATATACTAGGACCAAATATACTTTGACTTTCCCAAGCCACTTACCATGTCTTGCTTATTTGCAAACACCAATATAACAGCGTTGAGCATGAAAGGATCTTTGATGATGGCCTGAGCAAAGAATAAAATGAAAACTGTGCCACAACTGTAGAACTTCAGTCTAAAATATCAAACATTCAAAAAAACCACCTGAAACTCATCCTTCGCCTTTCCAATTCTCTCGCGATCCAAAGAGTCCACAACATAGATCTGTATAAGAAAGAGCCAAGTAAAGAATTAAGGAGATCAATAAGAGTTAAAAAGCCTTATGGGGAACTAGGTCCGTTTCACTTTGATCGACAAACTGTAGATAGTATACAGAATCAAACAACCACAAACAAGCTAAACCCACAATTGCAAATTGGACGTCTTCATGACCATCCCAACATAGTGTTCGCTATCCTAAAATAAGACGGTCATTCACACGTTTCGCCATGTATCTTTCTCTTAATTAATTTAGACAAGTTCGTATTTCCCCTTCAGAGAAAAATGTTCATTTTGCGTCCCCTTCTCTCCTTCCAACAAAAATACTCCCTCCTAACAACAATCATGTTTTTCTCTCACCTTGTGCTGATTAGTTGAGTATATCATGATGATGATTGCTTCAGACACAGCATGACCCATTAGATTTGTGGAGGTTGTGGCACCCCTCGAAGGTAAAAACATGGATGGGAGTGCTGAGGCAGCAGTAGAGATAAGTTGAGACAGGTGAATAAGGGCGAAATGGCAGTTTTGAGTGGCGATAACTGTGGTTTGGGGGTTGAGATGTTGGCAATTGTGTCCTGTGGAAGCTCTGTTGATGGTAAAAAACTATGCTTTGGGGTCAAAGATGGAAACAGTTTTAGAGACTTACTTGAGAGTTGGCAGCAGAGAGTATCTAGATGGGGATTTGTTCTTGTGGTATGGTGGTTTTTCATGGGTCGGTGGCAGCCACAAAGTTAGCTTTGGATGACAAATGGTGTCATCGTTGTGTCCTACTAGGAACAAACATTGTGGAGGTTATGACTATGACTATTATGGAGTTTATTTTGCAGCCATAAAGTTAGCTTTGGATGACAAATGGTGTCATCATTGTGTTCTACTAGGAACAAACATTATGGAGGTTATGACTATTATGGAGTTTATTTTTCTTTCTTTCTTCCAAGGTTGAGTTAGGTGGATTGGCAGCAGAAGCTATTTTCACAGACCAAAGCGGTGGTCATTGAGAGTCATGTAAGCGGCAGAAGTGATCTCCGGTGGAGAGGTGGCAATTTCAGTGGCCATGCTTAGAGGTAACTGGGAAAGCAGGGATGTGTAAGGGAAGTTAACAACTTGGGTCAGTGGTGGAGAGAGAAAAATCAGAAGCAACAGAAAGAACGTGAAATTACTGAAGCTAAAAGTCACATACAATAAAGCCAGGACAGGCAATTTTTTGTGGAAGAATTATATAGCATATAAATAGCATCTTACCAGCCCATCAGTATTATTAAAGTAATGCCTCCATAAGGGCCTTAATTTTTCTTGTCCTCCCACATCCCACACTGTGAATATCACATTTTTATATTGAACCTTCTCCACATTGAACCCTGCACAGCAGAAATAAATATGATCATTTTCTAGCAGTCTTAAAGATTTATTATACTGATGCATACACATTGATCTATCAAACTACGATATCATTAAGGGACACCAATATGTAAAAACCCATCTGTGCACAAGTTAATATCTAACAAGCAGCTAAAGACAAGATTTACTTGATGAAGTGAGCATGCCCCACTAACTATATGCACAATTCCTGAACTCCTAATAAAAACTCTCAAGCCTTTCAGTCATTCTCAAGATTAAATTCTCATGAAAGGTAAAACGTGACAATAAAGATTTCTGTAGGAAATCAGCAGTAGTGAGGGCATTCAAACAAACTAAGAATCATGCCAAGCTCACATCAAGTGATGTATGCCTGGAATTCTATTACTGATTTTAAGATCATTTTCAGGTTAAATATATCTCCAAGCAAGAATATATCATGAACATTTTGAGTAGTTAAGCACTGTCATGGGTGTACGCCTGTATTTGTTCAAAACTCCTCCCACATATTAAAGCATTCCTACATCAGTAAAAGCCACAAATGCATGGGCGGAACTCACAATACATACGACTTTTATAGCATTCAAACAGTGTAACAGTGTAATTCTTACACTGTCCAATACCAAGCATATGACAAATTTCAGAAGCATTTTGAGGGTTGTGCTAACCACACGTTGATTCAAAAGGTTTGCAATAGACCAGTAGAACCCTTTAAAGTCTAAAGATTTTTATGGCATTCAAACAGTGTAACCATTACACAAGTCCAATACCAAGCGTATGACTAATTTCAGAAGCATTCCGAGGGTTGTGCTAACCACACGTTGATTCAAAAGGTTTGCAATAGACCAGTAGAACCCTTTAAATTCTAAAGACAATCAAACCTAATAGTTGCAATATGGTGTCAAAATTATTATTAGCATTAAAAGCTAAAAACAAAAATGTATTTTCCTAATAAAATTGAAATAGGTACCCTGGGATTATGAACAAGTTAATTGAGTCCAAGACATGAAGAAGGCATATAGATGTCCTAAATCAATCGAACAAGTTGCTTTACTGATTAGAAATCATTTATAACAAATCCACCCATAAGGCATTATGCAACGCCGTTAACAGTTGGCTGCATAACATTACCCTCTATCTTAGGGTCATTTCATATATTAAACCACTTAACTATCATATCTTAATTACAGTATCCAATTCCAAGTTGAAAATGTATTCAAACATTTCAAGATAGAGGACCAAGAAATAATGAGACAGTACAAAAGTAAGTATTAGCACGACAGTGTGATAGCAGCACCTATTAATCATTATTAATTGTAAGTGGGCATAGAAATAATGCGACAAACCAAAAATTAAAGAATTCTTCTGTCATTAAGTATAGTTATTTCTTCAGCTTTCAATAAAATATGATCTTGAAGGAGAATGGCCAACCGATGGTAGGAACTGTAGATAAAACCTCTCCAATGTGAAGCTTGTACAGTATAGTTGTTTTTCCAGCAGCATCCAGCCCAAGCATCACAACCTACACCAATTCAAATCAGAATCACAACCATGACACCAACGCTGCATGATGATAATTTATAGATTAATGTCACTTACAAATAATTTCTTAAATAAAATGAATTAGTAGAGAAATTCTTTTATTAATGATAACTTTGGTGATTATGAAGAAGCACATGTTTGTGTGTTTATGTTCCATGCAGATACATAGTTTATTCCATTCCTAGCAGTCTATATTTCTTTATGTCAAATCATTCACTGCAAGTAAACTAGTATTCTTTTTCCTTAATGATTGATGACATATATTAGTATCTTGTTCTTGCCCTATATAGGTTCATTTAGAACAGTTATTCCATTAGCAGCATATATTTGGTTGTCCTGCATCATTATAGACAGCAAGCTAACCATCCTCGTGTGAGTGCATGGGGATGCATATATGTGTATATTTGTGTCTTTGCATTATTTTGATAATTATAGCGACTCAGACTTGTGAGTTTAGACACAAATTTCTTATTGCTGGCGTCACCTTCTTCGAACCTGTAACCACCTTCTTGTTGGAGGATTCTTAGTGCAAGTACTGTATTCCGTGGGGAAGTTGCCACCTTCCTGCTATAAGTCGAGGGCCATGCATTCTTGGTAGCTAGTGTAACTGTAGCAGCGTGCTTTGGCTTGGTAGTCACCTTAGCTTACACAGTGGTTGATTTAGTAGGGCAATGTACTTGTCCTTGGACTTGGCTTCTGGCTTTAGCTTGATAGTGAGCTTAGCATTCTCTTTTTTTTTGATAAGTAATTAAAACATATATTAAAAAGGTCCCAGTATACTAGAAGTATACAAAAGGACAATAGAGTCACAGATTACAATGGTTCAGCAACTCCACAAGAGAGCTGATGGATTGAAAACCCAAACCCTTAACCCACTCGAACAATAAATGAAAACAAGGTAGTCCTACTACTGCCCCAAGGCCCCTTCCAACATGTGAGAAGATCAAAAATGGTTCTTGGCATGACCCACTGGACACCAAACAAAGTAAACGCCAAATCCCACAACTCTCGAGCAAGCTTACAGTGCAGAAGAATATGGTCAGGACTCTCCCCACTCTCCCTACATAAACAACACCAATCAACCAAGAAAAGGCCACGTTTTCGAAGATTATCAATAGTCAAGATCTTCCCCAATGCTGCAGTCCACGAGAAGAAGGCCACTCGAGGAGGGACTAAGAAGGGTGATTTACTTTTCCATGGACTTGGCTTTCAAAAAGGAAACCTTCTTTTGTTTAGTGGTTTTCTGTGCCAGGGAGGAAGAGCTGGCTTCTTCGTAGCCAGAGTAACAGCAAGAAGCTTGATAGTTAGCCTAGCATTCTCAGAGGCTGACTGAGAAGGGTGGTTTACTTTTCCTTGGATTTGGCTTTTAAAGAGGCAACCTTCTTCCGTTTAGTAGAGCAGCAGTTCTGAGCTAGGGAAGAAGAGCTGGGTTCTTCATAGCCGGAGCAACAGCAAGAAACTTGCAACCTAATGAATAAGCTAAAATGAATAAGCTAGTGCGAGTAGTCTTAGCTCTAGTGGTTCTCTCATTGTACATTTTCATCTCACAGTGGGTATCATTGGCCACAAATGAATAATCTTCTAGTACTCTAGTTCAGCCCTTCTCTAAGGAGTTATGAATTCCGTTTCATTCAGTTCTCATCCACAAGAAAGTCCCGCGATTTAGTTTCCAAACTCCAATTGGATCTCCTCAGCACCATTTTGAATTTTAGCATGTTAACATATATTAGTGTATCTTTACCCCACGTGGAATTTATTGAATAATTGTTTCAGTCCTGATAGTATGCAAGTCCTTATTCCACATCAAAAATGGACTGCATCCTACTTGTCAGGAAAAATATGGGTCAATGTTGGCTGGCAACTAAATTGGAATTCAAAAAATACAACTAAAAAGGGATACAAAAATTACACAGTTCACCCAATTTAGGACAGGCAAGTATAGGAGAAATGCACTACAGTAGAAGAATTACAATATCAATATCTCTAAATATAAGGAGATAACTAATCTCTCTTGTAATAGAAGAACATATATAAAAAACAATACTTAGAACTCTATAATTTTACATCTCTCTCTACTCACTATTTTTTCTCTTTATTAGCAGATAACTCACTACTCTTCCTCTCTAAAATTATTCGTAATTCTTTTTTATTACATCCCCTATTTATAATGAAATTTTGCAATCTATCTCATTAATTACGCACCATACTTTGAAAAAAAACTGCAAAAGATTAACTGCATTCCTATACACTTAACAACTGAAGTGAAAACTTTCTTGTAAATTTTTTCCACAACATTAAGTGCTAGTCCTAGCATTTAATGCATACAAATTTTCTTTTTTAGCATTAAGGCCCTGTTTGAGCCAAATTATTATAGAATGAGAATGAAAAATATAGCCGTTATTGGGACCCACACAAGGTTAGAAAATTTGAATTTAAATGTTGATGTGATGGATAACGGTCATATGTTTCATTTTAATGAGATAATAATGTAGATCAAACGGGGCCTAAATGTCATGTTGCAAATTTTCTTCTTTAGCATTAAATGACTTGTTGACATAGTTGTTACTTGTAGTCAACAAAAGTGGCCTTAGGCAACATTTCTCCCACTTAAAGTCATTTTTATTGTAACTCTTCTATCCTTTCTACACTTATCGTTTCTATACGCTAGGCCGACAGAGGATCGACAACATATAGACTTGTCATTACTAACTTGTAGTATTAACATATCTACTATGTTGTACTCTATATAGATTTTCTTCATATCTACACCTCCTTGTTCCACTTTTTCTCGAACAAAAGATATACTAAACTCGAATTTCATTTATATTCGAGTGAAATTTTGGATTCTTTGTCGAGTGCAAAGCTCTTTGATTATCACAAAATAAAGCAATATTTTCTCGTTTATGTCCAAACTCCTCTGTTAACATTTGCAACCAAAATGACTCTTTGCTAGCTTTTGTAGCTACCACGTATTCTGCCTCCATCATAAAAGTAGTCAAGATAGATTGTAGTTTTGTAACTCAACTTACAACTCCTCCAATTCTTACATAATCTGTGGTGGACTTACTTTTATCAAGATCACCAGCATAGTCTGAATCAACTTAGCCTCCAATAGTAAAATCTAATCCTCTATAACATATGTAGCACTTGAAGTACCCCTGACATATCTTAAGATCCTCTTTACGCTCCAATGCTTTTTACCAATATTTGCAATGTATTGACTAACCACTACCACTGCTTATGCAATATCTGGCCTTGTACAGATCATAGCAAACAATAAACTATACATTATTGATGTGTACGGTACTCGAAATATTTTCATCCTCTCAGCTTTGTTGCTAGGATTCATACTTGAGGATAATTTGAAATTAATAGGAAGAGGTAGAAATTGGCTTACAATCTTGTATATTGAAGCAACACAAGATTTTCTTCAAATAGTTCCTCTAATAAAGCCAAATCTTCATATTATTTCCGTCTCGATAAATTTGTATCCCTAGAATCTTGGTCCTAAATCCTTCATTTCAAACTCACTAACCAACTGTGCATTCAAGTCTTTAACAAAATCTTTGTTGAGGTCAGCTACCAACACGTCGTCAACATACAACAGAATAATGAAAATTTAAAACCACTTTTGTTGACTACAAACAATCAATATGCCAACAAGTCATTTAACGCTAAAGAAAAAACTTCTAACATGACATCTAGTGCTAAAGGCGAAAATTCATATGCATTAAATGCTAGTCACCTAGAATTTAAAGCTAAGGGTAAAATTTACAAGAAAGTTTTTACTTCAACGTAAAGTGTACAAGAATGCAGCCAATTTTTTGCAATTTTTGTTGAAAGTAGTGTGTTGGGTAATTAATGAAGTATGTGGCACAATTTCATCATAAATAGGAGATGCAGCATAAGAGAAATGTGAAAAATTGTAGAGAGGAAGAAAAACGGTGAGTTATCTGCTATACATAGTAGAGGGAAAAAATAGTGAGTGGGTATTTCCTACTTAATTTTTTTCTATTACAAGAGGATTAATTGTCGTTATCTCCTTATATTTAGAGAGAATGCCATTGTATTTTTTCTACTATAATGCAATTCTCATAAACTTCAGCGCAATTCGATGTGTACTTGATGGAATGCCCGAAACAAAACGAAAAGAAGAGTATCGTGATGATTAAATTGTCTAATAGTAGCAAGTTAGGGCCAGACAAAACTCCCGAACCGAACCGGACCGAACCCGAACCCAATCGAGCAGTTCTTCATAAGTTAAATACCAGAAGGGGTATCTAAATCGAAAACCGACGAGTTTGGTTCGATTCTCAATTCTAGACCAAGAACCGAATTTAAATAATATTTTTAATTTTTTAGATTGAATTAATTAATTTTTTTTTAATTTTTCTAAACAAATTAGCAAATTAACTAATTTAGTGATTAATGTTCTAACTCCTAAGTCAAGTCCACGCCTAGCTAGCCCAACCCAACCCAACCCAATTTCTAAATTCAATTTTTTGGTCCTATTATTAATTTTATTCTTAGCCCAAGATCTAGGTTTTTTAAGTTTTTATCGTTCTCTTTCCAATTTCACATTTTCATTCGGTAACAACTGAGTTAG